AGAATACGGTCGTTATTACAAGAATTACTTTACTGTCGTCGGGATAAAAGAACAATCTTCCCAAAACTTAGCAAAGCTCAATTAACTATCGTGTGAGCTAGTAATAATCGTTCGAAATTAACAATTTTACAAAGACGATTTAACACGGATAAACCATTTTTCTGTGTGATTCTGACTTTCAAGTTGAAAATTTTCTACAAACCTTTTCTCCAAGTGCCGGTTTAAACAGAACGCAATGAAATAAAACGTGACGATTCAAATTTAAAAAATAATGTGTAGAGATTAGTGACCGTTAATCGATAGTTATTCAGATATCGTGAGATGCGGTCGGGAGTGATGTAGGTTTCAGAAAAACATTTTCTTTATCGTGCCAACGTTTCCATCTTTTATTGAGATCATCTTCAGAAATACTTTGTTTGAATATAAAATATATTTTGCATTGTATAAATTCACTTATCCACATCCTAAATGCATTTGTTAAGTGTAAACATTGTTTGTAAATCCCAGGCCCTGAAGATGATCTCAATAAAAGATCGAAACGTTGGCACGATAAAGAAAATGTTTTTCTGAAACCTACATCACTCCCGACCGCATCTCACGATATCTGAATAACTTTAAAAAATAAATATAACACTGTATTCACTGGTTAAAGCGATTCGGTTTTTTTATTATCAATGATGTGAAGTAATTCATTCCTTGACTCCATATAGAGAGCGCGTAGGAATAACACCCGGTATGAGAATCGCAAGGAGAAAAGTTCAAAGATGAAAAGAAAAATGCATAGCTAAGAAGGAAAGAGCAGGCCGTGGCCAATGTAGATTAGATATGGCGATGCCACCCGATATGAGAATAGAGCACCTCGTTAAGCTTAAGGCTTTTTACCAGACCCCCAAAGCTTTTTCAGGGGCTGTGTGTGAATCTTTCAGGTCCTGGCTTTTTCTCTCCAGGATTAAGAATCTCAGCTTACATAGGCCTTCGCACCAACAGAGAATGTGTTCACTGTTTCTTCTTCTTCTTCTTGGCAATATCTGAACAGACTTGTGTGCTGTCCGAGTCTATATATACGCCTCCGGAGTCTGCAGGGGTCAGTTAGCAGTCCAATTATTACTCTAGCCCTAGCACATCCTAAATTTTTAATAGTTCTACCGTTAGTTTCTGTGATGGTCTTTTGATAATCTTTTTGCAATGGTTCCACGATTTTGGCAGTTTGATAAGCCACAAAAGGGTTCTCGGCCAGTGTCTTCATCGAACCTTCCTTGGACAATTTACCGGCCTCTTCTTTGCCCCTCTGCCCTGTGTGCCCTGGCACCCAGACAACCCTCGGGTAATTTTGTTACTTTCCTCAATGTCTGACAGGGCTCTAATGCCGCTGCAGTCCTAGATTTAGTAGTTCTGCCTTTAGTTTCTGCGATCGTCTTTTGATAAACTTTTTCGCATGCCTCTGTCCCAGGCTACAGTCCCATTGAGCGGAGGACTTATTGTTAATTCATTGTCTGATTGATCCGGGTTTTTGGTACGGTGATGTGGGTTAGAAAAACGTTTTCTTCATCTTGTCTATCTTTATTGAGATCATCTTCAGGACCGGGGATTCATAAACATTGTTTAAATTATACAGACACGTACAAGATATTAATATGAAATTATCCTATGATGTACACAATATAGGACTTTTAGGTTTAATCTAATTATTTGTACTCGCCCAAAGTGTGTGTTTTCTATGTAGTCGTGCCACTGTTATGTGTCCTGCGGAGAGTGTTAGTGGCGTTTTAACTCTCAACACGACACACAACAGCGACACCACTACACAGAAAACCTACAACTTGAGTATAAATAATTTGATAAAAATGACAAATATTCAAACAGTCGTGTATTTGATAATGTTTAGTAGTAACTGACAGCTATTTACGTGTGGGTCATTCCCGTGTACATGTTTGTCTGTGTTAAATAAGAAAACAATCATTAATGCTTTTTCAAGAGGAAAAAATAGCACAGACAAAAGTGTGAATTTTTATTGCTTGACAATAGTTAAAAAAGTAAAAAGTTCTATATTGTTGGGAGTCCACCTGATAAATTGTAACAACACTGATGAGAACTAGTGCCATCTGATGATCTCAATAAAAATCGAAACGTTGGCACGATAAAGAAAATGTTTTTCTAACCTACATCACACCAGACGAGGTCACTATCGTGGAATAATCGTTACAACTGCATTAATTCTATAATTAGTATGACAAATATTTACAATACTCGTATATTCAATAGTATTTAGTAATAAATGATATGCATTTAATAAAGTCATTCACGTGTACATTTTTGTCTGTGATTATTCAGAAATCGTGAGATGCGGTCTGGTGTGATGTTGGTTTCAGAAAAACATTTTCTTTATCGTGCCGTTTCGATCTTTATTGAGATTATCTTCAGAGCCTGGGATTTACAAACATTGTTTAAATTTAACAAAAACATGTAGGATGTGGAAAAAGTGAATTTATACAATGCAAAAAATATTTGTAAATCCCAGACCCTGAAGAAGATCTCAATAAAGATCGAAACGTTGGAACGATAAAAAAATGTTTTTCTGAAACCCACATCAAACCAGACCGCATCTCACGATTTCTGAATAATCACCGACTAAAGGCCACTAATCACCACACATTTTTGTATGTGTTAAATAAGAAAAAAAGTCATTATTTTTTCTTCAAAAGCACACATCAGCATTTTGCGCAGTAGAATGACAAGGAAGAGGTTAGCAACGTGGTTCTGAAACATATCCCGTTATCCCTGTAGAAATTATTAATTTTAGTAAATACGTTTAATTAATTAAATTATTTAATTTAGTTATTAAATTTATACCAAATTGCCTTTAAAAAATACAAATGAAAAACAAATAGACAAAGAGTAGAAACTATCTTTTTATAAAAATTGAACAACCCACTCACTCCACCATTTATGATTTCTATAAATACAGGCTATCCATAATCAGTGGGATAGGCTAAACCCACAACACTGGTCTGTGTTTCAGAAGTGTAGCCATTAAGCGCCGTTCCTTTTCATCTTGTTTCGATAATTGTTTTTATTGCTTGACGATAGTTTAAAAAAGAAAAGGTTCTACATTGTTTGTCCTGATAAATTGTAACAACACTGATGAGGACTCACGAAGGGATTACATTATGAATAAATATTTTCTATAAAGGATCAAGGGGCACGTTCTGAACGCTCCCTCTGAGACCCTGATATTAGAGTCTTATCGAGATTTTTCATACGCGTTTTCTGGACCGTGGATCGAGCCGTAAATCCTTTCAACATCCTTGAACAAAGCACAGAGTAAAACATTTTTAACAGGATCACCCTGTCCACGCTCCACCTAAAGTGATAAACAAATTTCAACAGTGAGAGAGTTTTCCTGTTCTGGAGTTCGACAGCGTCCATGAATGTCTGCCATCTCAACAGCTCATCAAACAGGAGGCGGACGAACCGCACATGTGTGCCCCTGAGGCAGCGTTGAGGGGGGGCTCTGGCCTGAGTACTTGAAATTCCTCTTGGGAGATAAACTTCTCCATTCACGCAAATAACTATATTAATTATATTTATAATTATACACCTTTCAATAAATAACACATATAACATAAATCATGGTACAAAGATCTATATACAATTTTAAAAAAATGTTAATGGCCCTGAAATATTGGATCAGCGATCTGTCCCTGCTGTCAAGCCTGCTACAGCAGATCAATTTTTTGTTATAATTTACATTAGTGTAATATTATTAGTATTACAATTAATAACTGTTATATTGTATATGATAAAATTGGCATATTAACAATATTTTTTGTAGTTGTAAGCGTAGAAAACTATTTATTGTTACCATTAACATTTATGCTTTTTAATGATATATTATACTATAACCTATGCACTACTATATACAATTAGTTTTGGTACATTTTCTCTTCAGAATTCACATCCATAAAATAAATAAAACATTAACGTTTATTTTGTGCTATTAAGTATACAATAAAAAATGGAATAAGTAGAAACACAAAAGCCTACACTAGTAATGCTTGCATTAAATTTATGTATTTCAAATAAGAAATCCTTTTACTGATTGAGGCAACAGAAATCCTACGGAGAGGGAGGACACGGAAAGATTAAGGAAGCAGGGAACCGCGCCTATTTTTACAACCATCCCGGTTAACGTTTCGAGTCAATAAAATAAACGCGAGTTCAGCCGTAAATGAAGTTTTATACCGTTAGAGAACGCATTGACAACTTGTTTTTCTTATCGGCAACCGTAAATCCTCCTCGGGAATGGTTAAGGGAGATGAAATTTAGTCAATTCACGTCCGACTTGGTGGAAAGTGGACGGAAAAAAGAAAACTGGCCTAATGTACTACTATCAGATCAAATTTTGAGCGAGAATTGATGGATTATTAAGCCCATAAGGTTGTAAGAGCCACAATTGTCCATTCCTTGTTAGGGTTCAGAATCAGACGGTTTTCAGGTTTATGGACATCTGCTTTTTGTGTTATTGGAAGTTGATTGTGAATGTGAGAGAGAAATAAGAATATGTCAGTTTTTTCCCGTTCATTTTTAAATAGGCGGATCTCATTTCTGTTTGTGCGTTGTTGTCTCGTTCATAATTTCTTACTGTTTTTTAGTAGAGGTGTGATAATCTGGCACTTGCTACTAACTCTCATGTAAGATGGAGAAAAGGTGACTTACAAATAAAACTTTTAGTTCTTACATACAGTGGTCGAGAGATCACAATTATAAAGTTATACCCGTACTACCGTTTTATTTGTGTTTTGTAATAACTTAGACGTCTACTTATGTATTATATATGTTTCTGGGACACAGTGACATGTCCTAGTTTTTGATTTGTCGAGAAATGAGTTTATAAAGGTCTTGGGCTTCATTTTGGCGTAGGTCGTAAAAACTGGCGTTAAGGCCGTAGGAAGGGGATGAAATGGTGGGGCGTATTTGTTGAAGCGGGAGGGGGTACAGAAACCTGGGAAGACCCAGTAGCGATGGAGCGGCCGAAAAGCTCAGAACTGGCGTCGGACACGTGAGAAATCTCTGTGCGTATCTCCAACACTCACTCTTCTCCTTGCACAGCTCCTGAGTCGCCCTCGTTCCGGGGACGGCTGAGGGGCTGAGAACGCATGTAAGTTTGTCAGCTTTCCCCCTCAAAAAACACCTCCTTGGTGTTCGACCCTATCTCAAGATTAAAAAAAAAAGAAAGACAAGAAAAAAGAGATAGAGGAAAGCTTTAAGGTGTTGTCCTGTTTGGTGTTCTTTGCATGATCTGTTGTGTTTATTGAATGTGTAGAATTTGTGGCGCTCCGCCTTTCTTCCTGCCTTAAATCTGTTGTAACACACATTGATCCGCTGAAAATGGCAGTAAGCACTACCCAGACCTATGCTGCGTTTCCTCCAAGCCAAAGGTCAAAAGTGACTGAAGAGAAGGCAAAAAAACCCATCTTCTAAAACAGGAGTTAAAAGGATTCCGGGTTAAAGCCGATTCTCAAACGTAAATCGTTTCTCAACGAATCTATGATATCAACCACGAAGTGAAATTAAAGAAGAAGAGATCGAAATAATACCTACGCTTCAAAGGCTTTATAAATAATAACAATACAACAAAATAAAATACACTCCTAAAAATACTTTGGTCTCGAGCAAACTCGAACCCTTGCTTTTCATTATAAGCGCTGTTGCATCGGAAGTAAAAGATTAAATAGAAACACACAGATATAACTGAGAAATGGTTATATTGGAACATTATTCGAATTTTGCCTGGCCTTTTAAATTCGCCTTCATATTTATATAAGTTATTACAGCCTTATTTTATATTAATAATACTGAAAAAAATTTCCAAAATAGAATGAAAACATATTTAAGCAAAAATATTATAATCAATGGCTTGCCACATAATACTGTAACAAGTCAAGTATAGCAATAAAGAACACTGAGTATCTTTAAGATTATTTAATGTTTGTTGTTGCTAAAATGGCATCGTACTTCAGTAATTAAAAAACCTTTTTGTTTATTGATGGATTAAACATAATTTCAACTTTAAACATGTAATTTTATATTAAAAATCAGAGGCCAATAAAAAGTTAAGAAAATACCCAGATCTTTAGGTCATTTCTTGAAATGACGAAGGATGTGGGTGTCTTATTTTCTTTTTAATTAGCTTTATCCCTGATGATGCCGGTCCGTCCATCACCGGATGAACTAGAGGCAGATGCGGATCATCGTATTCTTCAGGTTGGCCTAAGTTTTGCTGCTTGCTTCGTGGCACTTTTTGCAATCAATGACGTTTTGACTCGAAACGAGTAATGATTGGGTTTCCGATAAAGTAACAAGCAGATTTCCTTAAAACTTACCTTTTGAATTTTCATTGATATGAAAGTGGGTCATTATTGTCACCTACACGTGAGTTTTATGTACTGCTCACAGATTTTACATTGAGCATTTGGCCATTTTCAATTAGACTAAATGGAGGTAAAGGTGTTGAGTATCGAGTGGCACTGCTGGGAGTAGTTTAATTAGTTTCGGTAATTAAAGGACGCGAGCTAGATTTCACCCCTTGCGCAGGGAAAACTGTGTAATACTTGAAAAGACTAAGGCCGATTGCCCTTTTCACCTGGGAACGAATAGGTCTTGACCTTCAACTTCATGCATCTTCAATGCACGGCGTTTCCCTGGCGGCCGGAAGCGAGTCGTAATTTGATCGCTTATTGGAAAACGTAATGGCTATATCGAGGAAGAGAGAGAAAAAAATTGGAACGTTCAGTTATATAATGGCAGATTTGGAACGTGTTTCGTGAGAAGTGACCGCATTGAGAAGTTGATTGACACGCGCCTCTATCGGGTCGGTCAATTTTTCAATAAAACATCACTGAAAAACGATCGATTAAAAATATAATTATAAGGTCCGAGAAAATTCGTAATTCGTGTAATTGCACGAAATATGCCAAAGCAGAAAAGAAACCGCCAATTACCTACTTGCATATTCAAAACTTGCTTTTTTAATTTTGTTTTATGAACAGAAAGCTTTAAAGAGTCCAAACATCGTGGGTTCAAATCCCGTCTGTGAGACAAATTTTAGAGCTCTAAAGTTACAAGCTTTTTATAAAATCTATTATTTCTAACGTAACAGTTATATTATGAAATATTTTGGACCTACTTTTGCAAATTATTATAATTAGTTATCATACCATTGTACTCGGCCATCAGTGGGGTGATGTAGAACCTACAAATAATAAACGAGATTAAAGAAATCATTAAAAATAAATATAAAAATCCGTATACCAAAAAAAATTTAAATACATCAATATAATAAATACAGTGAAAATACTGAAAAATCACAACTTCGTATTTAAAAAAATGCAAACTATTAATTATTTAGTGTTTAAATACGTGCAAATTCAACAAATTATTTAATTTTTTCCATGTGTAACGAGAACTAAAGTTTTTTTAAATTTGATTTAAAAAAGAATAGTTAAATTTGAACTATTTTTGGACCTAATTTTGCAAATTATTATAATTGGTTGTCATGCCGTTGTACTCGGCCTTCAGTGGGGCGATGTAGAACGTAGAAGTAGTTCATGAAATTAACAAAACAATCGTTTAAAATAAATAGAAATATTTGAGTATGAGAAAGCATTATTTCAAGAGATAAATATTATAAATAAATTCAAAATACAATAAATTCACATTTCAAAAATCATCAATTTTTGAGTGTTCAAATATAAGGGTGTCTTTTTTAATACGCGCCAGCAGTTTTTTTTTTTGAACAGTTACAAAAAGAGTGATCGACGGTAATCTACCCTTTCATTTTTGCGATTCCAAAACAGTCGTTAAATCTTTTTTCCGACGTCAAATATCGTCGACGTAACGTCACTTTTTGTGGGAAAGGAAAATGGGAACCCCAAATTTTTCATTTTTTTCAGCATTAGATTTTTTCTGAGAAGAATGAGAGTACCACAAAACACCTCTAAAATTGACGGCTTTAAAATTGATTGAAATTGTTAAAAATTAAGGAAATTCCATATATAATATTTATTAAAAGCAAGTTTCTTTTCTTTGACTTCCCCATGAGGTCTTACAAATGTTTTCAAAAACACCGAACGAGGATTTATATGACCTCTGGTGTAGCAAACCTTCGTAAAAAATAGTGCAAAGTTTACTGTTTATCACGAATAATCTTGATCACAGTTTGGCCTTCATGAAAAAGCATGATCAATTATTTTCTCTTCTACATTAGATCAAAGATTTTGCCCTATTTTATGGTCATTTCATTAGGGCAAAACAATCTTAAATGTGTCTACAAATTGACATAATTAAGTTTTTAATAGATTGTTTATATCATTATAACAATCGTGTTGGATATTTATTTTTTTAATTTTATTATATTTAATTTTTTGGTTATTTTCTTTATCAAAAAGAAAGTGGGAAGGTTCTTAGTACAACTCTTTCATTGTACAGTACATGAAAAAGTCCTGAATTGAAAATTAGGATTGTTGGAAACCTTTTATTATTATTAAAAAATAAAGCTTTTATTTTATAAAATTGTCAAAAAAATCTGTTATGTACAATAGTAACATCGTACCAACAGAACTCGCTTGATACGAACTTGTTTGATCAATATGGCACAATTACGCAGAACCTGTTATAAATCGGAGTGAATCTAAAATAAATAATCATATCGTGAGAATAATTATATATAAAATATGTTGCTGAGCTTTTGCCAAGCCATGAAAACCAATTATTCAAATCATAAATCACATTGTTTTCTGTATAGAGAGTGAACTGAAAAAATGTGTAAACCTTTAAATCTTTTTGATCGTTTATTCTTCCATCCTTTCATTTGAATTTCCTTTATACATTGCCTTTTTTTAAAGTCCAGATAATCACCGAGCAATATAACAGTTAGTAAAGGACTAAAGGTTGAAAATAATTTAGTACGAAAGGTGGAATAATCTAATTAACTGATTGATTATTGACGGTATATTCAGCGGGTGACAGTTTGTACTAGGTTAATTACTGTCGCTATCAGATATGTTCAAAGTCAAGAGAGATCACAGGCGAAAATTAATAAATTCAGGCAAAATTCAAATCGATGGAAATTCAAGCGCCGGGTTGTTTCAAATCCCCTTTCATAGAGCCGTGATTATTAACTCGCAGCGAGTACTGGAGTGCAACTAAATATTAAAGATGTCTGACCATTTTACATCGAGCTTGTGAAATCGGTTCAGAACCGTTTTCATTCAACGCTTTCGATTCGAGGAACCGTACTACAAGAAGAAAAGAAGATGAGCAGAGGATCGAGACTTTAGACCTTTGGCGTGTTTGCATGCTTTTGAACTGCCTTCTCGTATTCGTTGTTCTTTCTTGAAGAAAACGTGAGCAGTGCCAATGGAAGAACGTTTTTCAAACCCATTATAAATTTATTTTAAATTTACGTTTGTGATTTAAAAAAAACATTGGAATGTTTTTTCCATCGGGTACTTTCTGTGTCTGAACTCGTACTTGATGTTGTCGTTGTTGTTATCGATGTTTGTGCTTTGATTTTTAAATTGATGGATGTTTGGATGTGTAAATGAAGGAGAAAGGTCAGTGTTGCAGGTAATGGAGGCGAGGTAGTGAGTGGCCTCTACCGACCATGGCCGAACAGCCTCCTGACCAACAGACCCTCCAAAAGAAATTGCTCTTCTACGTCACTGCCAGCTTCATCCTCCTCGCCACTTTTAGCCTGTTCGCCTTCCTCTTCCTCGTGCCTTTCGTCATCGAGCCAGCCTTCACGACGATTTTTATGGAGTTCGACGAAACCCCAGTGACGTGTCAGACTATAGAAACTATCCACAACAAAGGGATGTCGAATTGTTCGTGGACGTCCTGCAAAGAGGGTTGTACAAAAGATGTTTTCACTTGTACGCAGATAAGAGTCAATTACAAGGTGGACAGGGCTGAGAGGGGTGTAGGGGACAGGGCTGGTCGGGTCCCTAGAGCGATCAGAGATTACGACTATCGCGAAGGCTACGACACCGTTCCGCAGGACTTGATCGAAGACGAGGTCGCCACCGGTCCGGTGCACGGTTTCGCCCCGAACGGCTCCGAATGGTATTTCATCGGCGCCAAGTTGCACCCGAACGTGAAGGGTTGCGGATACCCGCCGATGCTCAACTGTACCATCTGGGTCCAGAAGCACAAGGAGGAAGGGGCCAACTTTTCCTGTTATTATTCTAGAATAGAGCCCGGTCTGGTCATTACCGATCTGGACATGTGGCAGGTCTACATGAACCTGGTCTACGCCATGGCGATACCCATCCCGTCCTTTATCGTGTCCATCATCTATCTCGCCATGGCCTACCTCTACATCTACAACGATGAGCCGACACCGCTCGACGGCGAGGCCGAGGAGAGCACACCGCTCCCTCTTCTCACACCAGTGCCGCCGCCGACTTCAGGGGCGCTCACCCCGGCTTCGGAAGTGTTCCGTGAAGACCTCGCCAGCTTCGGCCACCAGCTGAAAGTCGCTATGGCGGATGACATCAGCAGAGACAGCATCTTTACGGACAGCGTACCGCTCAGCACAAATTCCATCAATGGGTGAGTCGTTTTTTTCCCTGAAAGGTTATATAACTCTAAACGGCTTTCAAACTCATGTGCACCGTGCACGACCCGTGCTTTTTATCATTCTCTTCAAATTTCCGTTGTCCATTAGCTGTCAAGTAGATAATCATTCTAATAATGATTTACTTTGAATCATAACTATTTTTTTATTAAAGCAAAAATTAAGTTTTGACGTGCTTTTAGTTATAGTTTTTTTTATGTACTCCTTCTCTTATGTATAATGCATTACATTTTTACATTGAGTATCAATACGTTTAAATAAAAATACCTCTGTTCTTATGTATCGACAATGACCTCATTTACGTAATAGCCAAAACGTATGGAACACACTCCATTTTTAAATGCCTGTGTGTAACGGTTTCAGGATAAATCAAGTCTTTGTATGTTGAGATAAGACGTCTAAACCAAATCTCACAGCCAAAGTCGAAAAATTCTACATGGCCCCGGGTAGGAATACCGTTTAAAAAATTAAAAGGTTGTACTATGAGAAAATAAACACTAGTTGCTCCTCGGTCGTTAGGAAAAGCTCGTTATCTCGATCCAAGGAAACGGCTTCCTAATTTTAATTCACTATTCTTCCCAGCTTAAGACCCATTTTGTTCAAATTACCGAGTGCGAGGAACAATGCCTGCAAGGAAGTGGCCCAATCCCAGTTAATGAATATTGATAAAAGGAGGGAAAATTGAAAAGGCGGGGTTGAGATAGGAAGTTAGTGTCCGAGTGGATCAAGGTCACGATAGTTCAAGTGGTAGAGCAGCGGCGTATCTAGCCGAAGATCGTGGGTTCGAATCCCGCTCGCGACACTGACTTTTTTATCTTAATTAAAAACCTTAATTAATTGATTGACAAAACATTCTAGTTCTTATGCCTAACTGATAGATCTTCGACGATCGCTTATCGTTAGAAGTATTTGATGCATTACCCCAAAAACGATAAGCAAAATTTGAAGAATAAAGTGTTAACGCTTATCTTGCAGTTAAGTTTGAACTCTTCGTGTTTCTTGTTTGTAATTGATAACCTCCTGATATTGCCATTTCAATATCCTTTTTTGCAGGTTTGCAGTTACTGGTTCATGATATATACTTAGGATTGGCGGTACTGTTATTATTAAAATTTATTTTGAAAAATCTCGCCGAATTCCTTATTCATACTATAGAGGGGGAAGGGTTGATCAGTAATTTCGATAATTATGGATGTACCTACCATTTTAAATAAATAACAAATAGAATGGGGTTGAAAGATAACATTAATTGAAGTTAACCGTTTTTTTGCCATTTAATAGATAATTTTTTCTCCCTTGTCAGTGTTATTATAATTATGATGAATTCATCGAATTTATCATTAAATTCTAATTGGAAAATAATTGGACTCCTCCAAATCGGATAAAAGACTAGCAGGTACAATTATTTATGAATTACTTATTTACGTACATATTTAATTGTTTAGTATATCAGGTACGTTTAATTACTGTATTTTTTCTAATAAAAGAGAGTTGTCCTTTTTTCTAAGAGGTCCCTGGGTCATCTCGCTTTAGTCGTCTGACAGGATTATAGGGATGAATTATGTTGGACATGTATTGGGCTAGTGAGTTTGGTGAGTGGAGAGTTAACGTGGAACTTAGAAAATTTGGTGGGGAATAATTTATTTGCAAAAATATATTGAAGTGTTGTGGAGGGATGACTGAATTCCTTGATATTGGTAGGTTTTGCGGTGCCCTAAAGTTTTAGTCCGTAGGTCCAAATCGGTTTCAGAAATGTTTTGTATAGGGTCAGTCGTCGAAATACTTTATAGCGAAGTCCGAAGTGTATGTTCAGTTCCTGTCTTTTTGTTTATAATGTTTCCTGGTTAAGCGTATGTGAAGATAGAAACGAGGTAGTGTACTCAGTCTGTATTAAGGTTAGGAATGTGATTAGGGAATATAGTGTAAGAGGTTTTGCTTTGGAGGATAAAGGTTAAATGGGTGCATTTCTTTTCGTTAATTTTTATATACAAAATTTGCTCGGCTATTCGTAGGCTAAAAGCTAGCTAGGCTAAAAGGCTATTCGTCGGACGAGGGCCTGGAGCTCTTCAGAGACAAATGCATGATTGTACAATAGGAAAGCACGGTTATGTCGCCTGCAAAGGATGCAAGAAGGGTTGCGGGTGTAGTCGGGATACGTGGTGTAGATGAGGTACAGGAATGGTCCTGGATGGAGCACACTGTCCTGTGGCACTCCTTTCCTAAGAGGACAGTAGTTTATAGGTCAGTTAAGTTTTATTACTGTATTGAGGAAGACATAGTTGTCGACGCGAAGTTTATAAATATACCGTTTCAGGCTTTATTGGCCTTTTACGCCTGCATTTTGTATGTCATCGTCTTACAATTAATTAATTAATGCAAAATGCATTGATTTATTAATTTTTATGTCCCTGCGATTCGCATTTCTTTACCACTCTATTATTCTGTTTCATTTTAATCGTAGTAAAATATATTAATAACAAAATAATGTATTAATATACTTTTTTCTTAACTTTTCATTAGATGTTCTTTCTTCCTTTTCATTTTCTCGAAGTAGCGAGGATAAAACTCAACAGCTTTTTTTTTGTAGAATTGAATTCATTATCGCTTAATGATAATAATATGTGTGATGTTTATGAGCCGACAAAAAAACGGCTGAGGTCATCGCAGTCCCTCTAAGTGTTTTACTAATGTTACTATTAGGTACTACATGTATACTATTATATTATACTAAGCGTTCTATAACAACCTGTAGCCTTTTAAGCGATTCGATCTGCTACTGACGTTCTGCTTTTAAATGAAAACTAAGTCGATATCAAAAATGCTGTCCTCTCATTTGTACAGATGGTCAAGTACATATTAGATATAAAACATACGATGGATATACATCCACCATCTGCTGGTACACTAATGGATCTGGAACGCGAGAACGGTCGAGAACTGGAATGTTCGGTCCTGGAATCAAATACTCACAAATGACAAATTACCAGTATCTTCCAGGCTGAAGTCTTCGCAATTGAGTACTCAGTTGTATTTGAGCAAAGGGTAGAAAAGCAAGATTAGCTTTCATGTCAAATAGCAAATCGGCTAGTAAGATCAATCATCCGCTCAAAAATGGTGCCGAATTGCAAACTTTGCTAACCGGTGAGTTTCATGCAGCTAAATATTGCGCTCTGAAGAGGGGCCAGGGCCATTAGCAATTAAAATCTTTGGCATAAAATTGAATGGCGTGTTTAGTTTAAAAAAAACTAACTTTCTAGATTTAAAATATTTTTACCACCATATTAAATTAAAAATAAAGAAAAACAATTTGAATAACATCTTAAATCTTTATACAATCACCCCTACACATACTGGTTACATTCATTCCCTCTGAGTACTCGCTATTCCTCGGCATTGGGTTGATCCTACTACATTCTCGCTAATAACTTATTTTACTCTCCAGACGTCACTCACTCCCCCTTACTCCGAGTATTCGAATTACATTCATTCTAATAAATTAATACAAACACAACCGAAACATTATATGCAGAAAAAGATTGCTCGATGTGTCCCACATTCTGGAAACATGTTATGTTTTGGCTCCCAACAGGGAGCGTATAGGCATGCCATCCAATCTGAAAATGTTGCTCGAGCACTGCAGCGAGTTTCTGGGTCCCCTGTTCCGCTTTTTAGGGGAAACTGTTTTTTTTTATTGTATATAATATGTCTTATGTGTTGTGTGTCTATATGTCTGAGTGCATGTATTTATTAGCGTGAAAGGCGAGGGGTGAGGGTGAAATATAACGTCATCATCACCCTTCGAACGTTGAGTGCGTATGAGTGTGTGTTCGGGGTCGATGACGGAATATTTATAAAAGTACTCCATCGACCCCAATCTATATTAGTTTTGTTATTGCATGCAGGTCGGTGGAGGAATATCATGTACTGCACCGACCAAACGGAATGAGTGTACTGTATGGATGTATTTATGTGCATGAATGTATTTATTTGTATGAATGTAGTGTTTGAAAGGGTAAATAGAATATATAATTTGTTGGGGGCTGAAATGACCTAGATGTCGGAAGCCCCAGTCACCCAGCCAAAAAAAGAACAAAAAACAGACATACTCAAGACTTATATACATTTTAAAAACCCTTATACTGAGGTACCCAAACAGCGATCTTTGCCTGTTGCTATGACCCCAAGACTACTCACAGGTTCGACGATATCAAAATATTGCCTAAAAACATCAAGCCTTCTACAGGTGAAAATTTCTTTCCAGCCAGAAGGTACTCGTCAGATATTCTTGCATGATCTTGGCGTAGTCTTGTCAGTTTGGCCTTTTCCCTTTTCGATCTGTTCTCAGTGAACCATGGACCGACTTTTTTTAACCTGCCACTGCTTTGGTAGGGTTATTTCTATTTTTATCATGCGGTTTTCCCATTCTCCTTCAGATTGGGGTGCGTCGAGGGTGAAGTTCCGGCGGCTCCTTTGGCCCTGTCTGCTTCATCGTTCCCGGCTATCCCTATGTGACCATCGTTTTGCCAGCACGATTTTCTTCTCAACTGCGTCGGTCCCTTGTAACTGTTCTTTTGTCTTATTTATTAGCGGGTCCACGAGGCTCTTCTTGCTTAATAAATTCATGAATCAATACATTCGGCATTCAGTAAAAAATGGACATTAAAATTATATTAAATTCACTAGTTTTCGTTGTCCGCTTGACCAATTAATATATTTCAATTAATTTAGGTTTTTAGTTGAGATAAAAAAGTCAGTGTCACGATCGGGATTCGAACCCACGATCTTCGGCTAGATACGCCACTACTCGACCACTTGAGCTATCGTCACCTCGAACCACTCGGACATTAAATTTATACATATTTTCATTGGATTTTCAATGGCAATATAAGAACATTAGCAATATTTAATTGAATATATTAGTATTAGGCAAATTTGGAAAAAAGGAAGGCTTCTTATGTTAGAATGTTATTTCGTT